TGCAGGGTGGGGTGGGATGCAGGGTGGAGGGTGGGTGGTAAAAGGTGGGGTGTGGGGGTGCAGGGTGGAGGGGGGGTGGTGCAGGGTGGGGGTGGGCGTTGCCGGGTGGGGGTGGGTGGTGACGGGTGGGGTTGGGTGGCAAATGAGGGGTTGGGTGGTGGTTGGGTGGGGGTAGGTGGTGGTTGGGTGGAAGGGTACGTTTTCCATTCCGCCGACCGACGCCCGGAGCGAACCTGACACTGCGCGGATCCGCCACCAGATTTCGTCGTTTCGCCCGCGGGCTCGCAGAGTTTTCCGAACTTTTATTGACTTTTATTGATTAAACGCGATCGACGCCCGAACTGGGTGACTTTTTTTGAAATTTGCTTGACCGCCGGGTCGTTACCGTTCGTCAATTACCTACTATACTGTCCTAGCCTGCCGAGTACAATAATTTGAAATCTTTTTTCGATTTTCCAAGTGATTTTCGTAATAATCAACGAAACAAACGTAGGGAAAACGGGATGATCTACGTGTAAAAGAAACATTGCTCCGAATCGTTTTTCGTTACCGATGGTATGTCGTTGCGTGTACAATTTGTAAACTGACAATAATTATCAATAAAAATTAACAAAATTTCAAAAATAAAATAAAAAACAATAATTTAACCTAAACTCAATTTAATAAAAATCTACAACACTTTTTGTATTATTAAAATTTTAAAAATGACAGATAAACTTCGCACCAAAGATGGGCGACTGTTGTACGTGAGAAGTTTCCAAGGTAGGACGTAGAGGGGAATTTAATGTATATATCCGTACGCAAAGATTAACATTTGCTAACGAAAAACGATTCTGAGCTGAGTTAAGCTACACGTATTTTAAAAGGCCGCCGCCATATTTACGATTTGAAATTAATGCATTATGGTACATTTTCTCGGTTTTTCCATTTTTTAAGGAAAGCAGCTGGGAAAATCAAAAAAAAACATTCCCAATGTACCATCCCTGTCAAATTTCCTTTCAGAAAACGTGTTACGATTGAAAATCGGAGCAAAATTTTTGGCAAAATGTCCATATAAGACAAAAAAAAAAAAAATAAAATAAATATCATTGTAAAACCAAATAAAACCAATTAGCTCCGCTCAAAATATAA